TTTGGAAAAAGACTTGCCTGAACAGGAGCAGCATAGTATGATTTTACATGAGATTGTCAGTGCTTTTCCGGAAATTCAAGCGGCCAGTGTAGACAGCTGGCAAGTTTTTCCGCAAAATCAGATGATTTGGTGGAAAAACTTGTCAGTCTAGACACAGCCACTACGTCTGAAGACCCCAGTGTATAAGTAAAGAAAGGAAACCAAAGCAGGGGAGAGGGAACAAGGTTGGGGGCAGGGAGTTCACTACACCAGCCACGGAGGGAAGCCTCTGTCCCGCGCTCCCTCCGGGCTGAGCGCAGGGCAGCCGCAGGGTAGCTGGGCTGGAGCAAAGAGAAGCGGCTGCCCGGTCAGCTGGCCATGGTGCTCAGCCAAAGTGCACCATGCTCCACATGGGCTGGTGCAGAGGGGAAGCTGCCTGGCCAGCTGGCCATGACACTCAGCCACGGTGCCCCACGCTCCACGTGGGCAGGCACAGAGGAGAAGCCACCTGGTCAGCTGGAGCACGGGGAAGCCTCTTTCAGCTGAAAGCCACAGCCAGCTGGCCGGGGTGTTTCAGCCCTCCCGACCTCCCAGCTCCCACCAGTGTTGTTGCTCGGTGAGTAGCTACTCCTCAAATGAGGAAATCAAATTTAAATGTACTGAGCAGATGCGCAGTTCAGAGAGGGCTCAAGAGTGACTCAGAGCCCTTGAGATCGACCGGTAAATCGCCATCTACCGGTCGGCGACCACGGGTCTAGGTGGTGGCTGGCTTGGGGAGTCTACCTCAGTTCCTTGTGTCGGAGGCCCAGAAACTTTCCTCTCCCCCACCCACACACACACTGCTCAGGGCCTGGCAAATTATGTCACCAGCTCTGAATACAGGGATTCCCTTCGTGCTTAAATATAAAGCTAACAGGCACCTTAGACATATCTATGGTACATTTTATTTATGGAGAGAGAGAGAGAGAGAGAGAGAGAGAGAGAGAGAATAAAAAGGGCACCATTACATTAAAATGAGGACAGTGCATCCCAATGTCTCTGATAATTATTGATGTTGTACACACATTTGTATTTTAAGAAGTTTTACTCTCCTATATTCCAATGGGAAAGACTTATGCAAGCAGAGTGACTATAAAATGGAAAAAAAGAAACTACTAAACTTGAAGTGGCCTCAAAGGCACAAAGAGGAAAACAGAATTCCCCCCCAAATCACTTTGTCATTTTCTGATAGACATGTGGATTTTAACCTGATGGTGCCCCTACAGTAACACTTACCTATTGCAAAGAAGGTGTCTCGGTCAATATTAGCAGCTTCCTTGCAATCAAACAGCAAGGATGCTGCTTCACTTCGAGACAGAAGGCTGGGATCATTCTGAGGGAGAGCGAGCCGTTTCAGCTGGTGGGCGAGGGATGTCATAGTTGAAATATTTCTGCGGCCGGGGGGAGAAAAAAAACAAACTTTAAACAACGCACCCCCACACAAATAAAATAACCT